GTCCTGGTAAGGAACACTGATTTGTGGTTTTATTTGTATTCATATTTCAGGGAGTTTCGTGTCATTGTCCTGTTCATTTCATAAAAAGTATTTGCACAACTTTTGTATCTCAGAAGCTTAACCATGTGGTATACAGGGTGCTAAGGGTCACACTGGCTCTGCCAGCTCCAACTTCCAGTCAGGCAGCTGCGGCATCCAGTCTAAGGACCACGAATCTAGCAACAGCCACTTTCACTGTGTGAGGTTGTTGTAAGCTGTCAAATGTACCCTCTCATCTGATCACACATGGTCCAGGCAAGGAGGTATGACTTGATCTCCATCTACAGACGGGCAGGCCCACACTGCAGACCCAGCCCATGGCTGAATGTGGTCTGTAATCTCCAGGCTTTTCTGGCCTTTGTTTAATGTTAAGCCACCCTGTGGTCCCCTTTGCTTTACTGGAAGGTATTAACCAGATGCCCCCAGGTTTGTTTTTAGTTTGGCTTGAGGTAACTCCCCTTTTCATGTTTCTGGTGGATGACTGAGACATTCCACCAACGTCCCTAATCCTGTAATCACTACTTTCTAAAGGACACTGAAGGGTTTGGCTGCTTGCCCTGGTCTGACTTTCAAGATCCTACTTGTTCTTGAAGACTTAGCTGCAGGGCAAGTCCTACAGATGGAGGTGAGGGAGGCTGGGGGGATTACAACCAAAGTTAAAGGAATGACTGTCCCTCAGGGCAGTTGATTAACAAGGTTGGTATTCAGTACTTATGGATTCTAGAGAGGGTCAGGGTGCAAATGCTTGATGATGCTGAGACCTAGGCTGCCTTCTTCTGATGACAGGAACACTTCTGGTAGAAGAGGAACCCTGCACCTGACCCCACAGGTCACAGAGCACATGGTGGGGAGGCTGGTTGCAGGGTGGGTGGTGAAGTCTCTACACTGTGTGGTGCTCTGTGTTCTTAATTCATTGTTAAAGAATACTAGGGCCTGGGGATGTAGCCCAGATGACAGAGTGGTTGTCAGCATACACGAAGCCCTCGATAGGATTTCTAGCACGTAGAAACTCAGTGTGGTGGTACATGCCTTTAATCCCAGCACCCAGAAGGTAGAGGCAGGAGGGCAAGAAGTTCAAGGTCATCATCCTCAGCTATATGGTGAGTTTGAGGCAGGCTGGCCTCCATGAGATCATGTTTAATACATACATACACACACACACACACACACACACACAGTGCTATGAACAAGGGAGGTATGACCAATGTTTGCAATCACCCACGGCAGGGGCAGTGAGGTGCAGTGCTCTGGCCAGATCCTCACAGCCCCTTCCGTCCTGGGCTGCTTTCCCACTATCATGGTAGAGCTGGGCAGCTGGGGCCAAGAATGTCCATGCCACGGCCTACATGGAGAAGCCCACGGATCCCTGACCTGTCGTGACCTGTTTATCTTCTTCAGTCTAAATTCTTCAAATGGACCCCATCAGTCAGAGTGTCCACATTTAAAATTTTGACATCAACTTTGTCCATGTCCCTTCAAAAATGTCATGCTGGGGCTGGAGAGCTGGCTCAGTGGTTAAGAGCGTGTACTGATCTTGCCGAGGACCTGAGTTCTGTTCCCAGATGTCATGTTAGGCAGCTCACAACTCCCTGTATTAATACGTAACCCCAGCTACAGGGGATCGGACACCTCTAAAATCCATGGGCACTGCGCTCAAGCGCACTTCCCCCCACATACCCATAATTAGAAAACTAAATCTTTGAAAAATGTTATGCTAATGAACTCACCCAGGAGCAATATTTAAGAGTACTCCCCCACATGCACATCAGCCAGTTATCCTAACTTAAAAATTTGACTAGTTGTATAGGTAAAGAGATACAGCAAAATTGTTTTATATTGGCATAATCAACTAGGAAGGGAGGACAGGAAATACAAGGAGCCCTGGGGGGGAGGGGAGGAAGGCACTCAAGAGAGGGGGGATAATAAGGAGACAGACATTGATAAGGGGAACTGAAAGACATAGGCTAGGGAGGAGCCTCAGTAGCAGAAAAGTGAGAGGAGAGAGAGAGAGAGAGAGAGAGAGAGAGAGAGAGATAAAGCTTAGGTGGCGTAAAAAGCCAGGGGAAAATGTATTAACTCAAAGTACCCCTGAAAAATATACATACAGTATCTGAGCCTGAGTCCACGTGTATAGCTGAAGGCTCTATAACAAAGAACACAGCGCCAGACAGGTGAGACCTTCCTTCAAGTTGTTGGTGAGGGTATTCCAAGAGACTCCCAAAATAACACACGTGATAGCCACAGTCCTTGATTACCTCCCAAAGCTTGAAGGGAAGTCCCTACTGCTGAAGACAGGACATACTTCGGACACAGGACTTGGAGCAGTGGAGCTGGACCTGAGCTGGAAGCTCCTCCCTGAAGACTAGATACGTAGCTCTAGAGGATTCTACGCAAGATGCGAAGGGACAAAATCAGTCAATGGTCCAGCCCAGCTATAAAGTCTAATTACCACGTGACTGGCACAGCGAACTATCTCTGTTGGTGCAGTAGGGGCACGTTTATCTACAGGATAACCAACAGCTGTCTGATTGGATTTAAAGCCCTCTCAGTGGGAGGGAACTCATGAGTGGCACTGTAAACATAGACAAATACACATGGCTGGAGAGGTCACAGATCCCAGAGAAAACCCTATCTCTGTCATATCTCTGGACAAATGAAATTTCTTACTGTGTGCTAAATAAAGACCCTTTCATTTTCTGACAAGTATACCACACACCACTCATCAAAGAAGCTTCTTTTTGCAACAGATGGAGGCGATTACAGAGTTCCACAACTGGTCACACACAGGGAATATATGTCTGAGAGATGCCCAGCCCTAAATGACGCATCTACAGAGGAACCTCTACATGTAAGGCTCATGGAACATAGCGAAACGGGGATAGAGAGAATGCTAACACATCCTCCAACTCTCACCAGTGAAGCTTTCTCATACAACAGAGTGCAGAGCACACAGAAGGTCACAACTGACTGAGGTTTAGAGACTAAGACTGCAGAGCGCATGTTCCTGGACAGGATTCTTATATTAACCCTCACCCACCCATGACTCAGGGACCATCGCGGAAGGCGGGGCAGAAAGATCGTAAGGGCCAGGGTTGGTGCACGAATGTAAGGACACAAGGCTTTCAGGCCACTGGGAACTTGCACCAATGGTGACAGCATGCACAAGACCCAGGCCGACTCAATCAGATAAAAGCCCAGCACAGAATGAGGAAAATGGAGAGCAGTCCCCAAACCTAGCCTAGGAAGTACTGGCAACTGATTACTGCTGGGCGAGGGGGAGTAGGTCGTCTTTCAAGGGAGGGACTCTAGACAGGCTGACAAGACCCCAGTAGATGAACTTGCACTGAAGGACACCTGGGTGCAAATGCTTGACCAGAAAGGACTTAACATATATGACAGAATGCATGCAATCTGGTGGGGGGACATGGAGGGTGCAGATGGGGGAGGGGGTCTAAATTTGATTAAGGTCTGTTATATGAAACACACAAAAATGCAGTAAAATATTTTTAAAGATTAAAAAAAAAGAATACATCAAGCAGGCATCGTTGCCAGTGTGGACAGGGCCCGAGTTTCACTTCTCAGTACCACATGTACACAAAAGACAGTGGAACTCTACAAATATATTCACAATTACAATAAATATCATGTTAATTATCCTAGTAAGAGAATCCGAGAATGGAATTTTTAATAAAAAGTTTTACTGTGAAATAAAAAAACTGTTTTATAGTGACATATTTGTTAGTAATTTTAAAAAGTTTTTTTTAAAAATTTATTATTTAATAACCACATAATTAGTAGAACCATTTCATTACAACAGCATTGACATAGTCAATAACCGTTTCCAGAGCAAAGATGCATCTCTTTCAAAATTGGCTGTAAATTTTTAGGTTTGCAGTTGTGAATTAATACAGTTATACGTTATTGAACTCAGTATAAACCCTATAAGACATAAAATTGAATGAGGTTTTAACCTTTAAAAAAAGATCTACATTTCATTTTAAAATATGGTTTCATACAGAAAATTTTTTTAGAAAAAGTACTGTTTTTTGATGTTTTGTACTGAAATGTTCATTATTTTCTAAATACGAAACACGAACAAACCCTTGTTCAAGGCTGTGCTCATCTTTTCCATTAAGGCTCCATCAGTATAATTCTGAACAACTGTGTAATCTGTCTGTATAATTCTATGCTAAGCTTATCCCATTTTCTAGGAACATAATTCATGTTTGGAAATAGTGATAAAATTATCACTTAAAGTATTTAGAACCTTTTTATGGTTTTTAAAAAAATCTTGTTGCATTTGTTAGAATTTCCAAGGAAATATAAACTAGTAGTTCTGATAAAAGACACTCTAGAGCTACTGGACAGTAGCTTGAAATGTGGGAGGATGAGAGAGTGGATGGCTGGAGTGATGGCCTGATGAAGGGGAAGGAGGAGGGATGGAGATGTACCAGGGAGCAGAGCGCCAAGGCCTTTTGGCATCAAGCTGCTCAGAAATTATGAGAAAACGGACTTCACACGTCATCACATCTCTTTCAACGCCTAGGTAGGTGACATGGTTGGCCTTGGTTGTCAACCTGACACACTTGGGAAGAAGAACCTCAACTGGGGAATTTCCTCTATCAGACTGACCTGTGGCCATGTCTGTGGGGCAGCCTCTGGACTGCGGAGATGTGGGAGGGCCCAGCCCACTGTAGGAGCTGTCCCCCTCCCCACGGCAGGAGGCACTGGTTGCACTGTTTTATCAAGGTAACAGAGAAGCTAGCGAGGACGCAGGAAAAAGTGACTCGATTTTGAAATAAATCAGAAAGAATGCACGACGTAACACATATCCTGGAGCATCTCCATGTGAATAACTACGGAAATAACCAAGACTTCAGAGCACCGTGGATCCATTCACCAAGGTCTAAGGAAGTGTGGTTACGGTGTACGTACATCTTATTTCTCATGCATTCCTGTACCTGTTCTGGGGTCTTGTTGGAGAAGATCATGGCTGAGCCTCCTTCTTCTTCGTCGGGATAGTCAGGAAATGTGCCAGTCAGATTCCTGCAGAAAGAAAGAAAGCAAATTAAGAGACAAGCCTCTCGGTTAGAGATCCCACTTGCCAACTTGCATAGCTTTCTGTTAGTGAGTGATAGTTCTTCAGGGTGGAGCCCCTATGGTTGAGGCTGTGCAGGAAGCCTGTGGAGCAGAGGCACCCAGGCACGGAAGCAGGCTCCCTGCTTCTAGGGGCTTGTTGGTCTGGGGTGAGCCTCTCTCTTATACAGCCTGTGGAGCAGAGGCACCCAGGCACGGAAGCAGGCTCCCTGCTTCTAGGGACTTGTTGGTCTGGGGTGAGCCTACTGCCTTTTTTCCTTTTAATACCGAGATGGTCTGTGGCTTAGTTTCAGCAAAGACAGAAGCACAAATCATTTCTTCCTGTTTAAAATTTAGGATAAACACAGGATTTTGAAACTAAACAGACGGGTGGAGTCTAGCAAGTGCATGCTTTGGGTTTTAGGAAGTCTGAGGCCCCGTGTACGATAGGGTCTGAACAGCAGTTCCTTTTGTAGCCACGTAAGTTCTTACATGGAGAAAACAGACAGGGAATTTAGTGTGAAGCATTTAGAAGGGAGACATGGTTAATATTTCTAAGAGAAACTCACTTTGATTAAGTGTTACAGTTATTCTACATGTAGGAAAAGTAGACTGACTGCCAACTTAGAGCCTTTAGTTCCCAAAGTGGAGAGTGTAATGCTTGGAGGAGACCACTCTGTTTAACAGTGCTTCTCAAACTTTTGCCTTAAGGTGCTGTCTGCACTCAGTTCTTGAAGATCTCCAAGGGCTTTTGTTCATGTGAGTTACTGCTGTTGGTACTCACTGGATTAGATATTAAAACTTAGAAGACTCTAAAATACTTATTTTTTAATTCACTTAAAAGAACAAACCCGTCATGTGGTGGCATAAATATCATTTTTATGAACACTAAATGTATTTCCCAAAGCCAAAAATGTAATCTTTTCTGAGACTGTTTAGTGACTGGCTTAAGGGAAGTGTTCTTAGATGCTCGGCTCTGCGTCCCCACTCCAATCTGCTAGAATACGTTATTTTGGTTGAAACTCAGGGAGAAAATCTGGCCGCACACACTCGTGTAAGCGTGAAAGGGAGGGTGTTTTGACAGCCGTTTAGGTACCTGTGAATGCTCTGCTGTGAGTCTGTTTTGGTTGAAACTCAGGGAGAAAATCTGGCCGCACACACTCGTGTAAGCGTAGAGGGAGGGTGTTTTGACAGCCTTTTAGGTACCTGTGAATGCTCTGCTGTGAGTCTATGTTACAACTCGATGAGAAACGCTTTCTGTGGCTACTTGTGACGAGAACCATGCTAACAAAGGGGCTGCCTCTCCCAGCCGCTTTACAACACGGGTCTGTCTGCACACTGATGGGCCTTTAACCACGAGCTTGCAGACACCAGGCCTTGCTCATTCAGAGAGGACGGTCCACTGGGTTCTGTAGATCTTCCCAGTGCGTTCCATCGCACGGTGTGATGGTTCATACTGATTGTCAATTTAACAGGCTCTAGAATCACCTAGGACACAACCCTCTGGGTTGTCTGAGAGTTTCCAGGCTAGTAGCTGAGGTGGGAAAACACACCCTAAATGTGGGAGTCACCATCCCACGGGCTGGGATCTGGAACCGCATAAAAAAGAGAAAATGAGCTGAGCACCAGCACTGTCTCTGCTTCCTGACTGACTGCAGAGGCAATGTGACCAGCCACCTCATCTTCCTGCCCCCCAACCTCCTGCCATGATGGACTGCACCCTCAAACAGTGCGGAGCCCAAACAAACTTCCTTCCGTCGCTGTTGTCACGTGTTTCATCACAGCAGAAGAGTAGCTAATCCACGTGGGAATCACGTTTCACGTGGGAAATTACATGTGGGAAATAGCATTTCATGTAGGAAATCACCCCCTAGGTGCTTTAACCCCAGTCACAGCAGACTATCCTAAGCACACTGCCTGTGGATTCCAGGCTCCATGGGTGGTGACTGTATGTAACCAGGTTTCCAAGAGACAAAGAAGCTTCCGCCATCCCAGGCTTGGGGCAGAGGAGGAGGATGCATGCCATGGGGGAAGAGGGTCAGAGGCATCCAGTTCCACCAAACAGATACTTTGGTTTCCACCATTAATCAAAAGCCCTTCGTCCTGACACCGTGTAATTTGGGGTCCTCAGTTCCTTCTGGGAGGCCCCAGGAGGGCGTCACCTGCAGTTACAGCTGGCTGTCAGGCCCCAGCTGTTCGTGCCAGAAATACTGTGGGAGCCCAAATAACATTTGCTGTTGTCTCCTCCAGATTATCAGTGTCTCCCCTGGAGCTCTGTACCCACAGAAGCCGAACCCAAAGCCTTAAATACTGGAGTGTTCAGGACCCGGCTCAGGACAATATAAACCAACAATACCAAATATGTTCATCTGCCCATTAAAAGAAGCAAAACACAATTATTAAAACAAATATACTTACTATCATTTTGCAAAAATGCTATGAAATTTTAAAATTAAATCTTACAATGAAAATTGATATAGTCCAAAATTAAGAGTCACTTATTCAAAATGAGTTCATGTAAATTTGGAATTTTTAAAAATATAAGTCTCTAAATTTGTTACGAGTCCTAAAAACATTCAAGTTCTACAATATGAAAATAAAGTTAACATGACGGATTTCTCGCAAAAGGAGGTTGTTGGAGTCTTGTGAGTGGTGTGGTGAGAAGATGCTAGAAGGCTCAGTCCAAACATGTCCATGGCTTTTACCCAAGACCTGTCTACACCAGGCGATGCCTGGACCTGAGACAGAAGAACAAACTGTGTAACAGGATTTGAGAGCTGAGTCCGGGGAGCCTCGCCAAGAATGTGAACACTCCCTGGGCTCAGACTCCCCTCGTGGGTGTCACTACCTTCAGCAAACGTGATTCCCACGTGGATTAGCTACTTTTCTGCTGTGATGAAACACCTGACAACAGCAACGGAAGGAAGGAGGTTTGTTTGGGCTCCACACTGTTTGTTTGAGGGCGCACGGTTTGAGGGTTCCGGATCCCAGCCCATGGGATGGTGACTCCCACATTTACGGTGTGTTTTCCCACCTCAGCTACTAGCTTGGAAACCCTCAGACAACCCAGAGGGTTCTGTCCTAGGTGATTCTAGGTGCTTCATTCTAGGTGGGGGTTCATTTAGACAATGGAATCATAAAATGATGCCCCTGCACTCAGGCACCCCATCTATCTAGGGAGCTGTCATCTTCCTGAGTCCAGTCCTCCTTCAGATCCCCTTCTGTCCCCTGACTAAGGCCTTGGCTTTGCTCCATTGGGCTCTGGATTTCTCATGGGCCACTCACCTCAGGTCCTTTCTTCCTTTAGCCCTCCTTCCGTCCTCCTTCCGTTCCCTCCTCAGATGCCTCTCTGTGAGTCCCGCAGTCCCTCACATCTGACCTTCTTGGACTCACTCACTGTCCTAGTTTGCTTTTCAATTGCTGTGACCAAACACTCTGACCAGTACCAACTTGGGGAGGAAAGGGTTTATTTATCTTACATCTCCCAGGTCACAGTTCATCAGGGAGCCCAAGGTAGGAACTCAGGGCAGGAACCTGGAGGCAGGAGCTGGAGCACAGGCCATAGAGGAACACGGCTTACTGGCTTACTCCCCTGGCCCCTCCTCAGCATGCTTTCTTGTGAAAAATAGGCCCACCTGCCCAGGGGTGGCACCGCCCATAGTGGGCTGAGCCCTCCCGCATCACTCAACATCAACAAGATGCCCCACAGACATGGCCACAGGCCAGTCCAATAGAGGAAATTCTCAATTGAGGTTCCCTCAATCCAGGTGTGTCAAGTTGACACTAAAGCATCCAGCACACTCACCTTCCCCAGTTCTCACCCCTTTAAGTCAGCTGGGAGAGTCGTCCACAGTCAGTGCTCATTTAAGATCGTCCTCACAGGTGTGGAAGGGTGGGCTGTGCCCCTGACTAAGGCACTTATGGCAAAGTCCTAATCCGCAGCACCCAGGATATAGTCTTGTTGGAAAGAGCGTCCTTGAAGCTGTTGGTTAAGACGAGGCTCCATTTCACAGCCCTCAGAAGGAATCAAATGCCAACACACTGGCCTTCCGGCCCAGAACCCAGACAAGACATTCCTGCTATTGGGCCATCCAGGCTTAGACAGTAGTTATGATGGCCCAGTAGCCTGGGACATGGCTTTCAGCCTAGCCTGGCCGAAAGCTGCTGCCTTCTCAAGGGTAGTTCATCATGATGCTGTCTTGCTGTCCAAGGACAGAACCCTCTTTCTGGAAAGGCTATCTTGCCTCAGCTCCCAGAGCTTGCATTCACCTGGCTTTCTCATGTCCTGCCGGGCACCCTCCTCTGTCTTCCACAGAGACACTTAGCTTGTTCATGGGGTACAGAGCCGGGGCACCCTGCTGTCCTTCTTGGTAGGGCTGCTATGCGTGCTCTCCTTCCCACACTGAGCCAAGTGGCCCAGTCTCTGCTCGGTTCTTCTAGGCCTCTCCCAGGGCTCAGTCTTAGAGCTCCTGCTCTCTGCTTGTCCAGCCTCTCACCAGTGGTCTCACCCGGGTTCACGGCTTAAAGCAACACCCATGTGCTCAGCTCTTTAGCCCTGTGTCCGGTTCTCATTTCTCCCTGGCTGCAGACCCAGATCCAGATGCTCACCCAACATCTGGAAGCATTCTCACCATGCTGGCCCTGGAACTCTGATCCCTCCCATCACAGAGAGTGGAAACTTTGTTCCCGTCAGTCCAGGGAGCACACCCTGGTGGTGTCCTCAGTCTATCCCATTGTTCCACCTTCCCGGTGGAAGTCGCCTTGAGGGTGACTGTCTCACAGCACTGCATTGGGCCCAGGATCCTGCTCCTCGGCACCTGCTCACAGAACAGTTGGTCTCCTGTTCCTTAGGTCCTACCCAGACAGCAGGCGAGTGATCCATTTTTTTAAAAACGAGTCACATTGTGCTGATTCTTTGCTCAGAGGCCACCGACTCTCCAAGTGAAACTTTTGCTTATATAATTAGGTTA